TGGGCACACCGCTTTTTGAAAAAATCCAAGTAGGTGCTGAAGTCCAACTGTGTAGAAAAAATGGGAGAGGCAAATTCTGAACCACCACAGTCTGAAGGTAAGGAACCTATTTAAGAAGCCCAGGATACCACCATTAAATATGCACCCTTTTTTCTTTGTGGGAGTTTAGTAAAATAATTATGAATAATTGATCTGAGAGATTTGGTGACCCATTACTCATTAGAGTAAAAAAGCTTGTTTTACAAGTTTGGGCTTTGCTAGCTAAGTAGTGGTGCTGCGTTCATTTTCCCCTGCATCCATGGTTTACTAGCAGATCTTTTCAAGATGATCAGGGCAGGTCCACATGGGAAAAAAATCATCAAATGGTTGGTGTTAGACATCCCCCAAACATCTATATTACCGTCTTGGGAAACATTAATGAGAGACATAAGCCTGTTTTTGTCAGCCTTAATTTTATTATATTTAAAATAGACAGAGCAACCAGTTCATATTTCATTGACTTCATTGAGATTTTGCCTAGATGCAGGCATGTCTCTGCATGGAGTTGATTGCATGATCCCAGCCTTTAAAAGTACATTTTCATGTGGAAAATGCGTAAAAATATCCTGAGCCCTAAGAGCACATTCCAAAAATCTAAACTTAAGCAAAAACAAACAAGCAAAAACCTTTCAAATCCAGTTACCAAGTCAGTTACCCTTTCCCACCAAGCCACCAGTTAAAGGAAATCTGGGGAGATATATTTTTCTGGGAGCAAGTTCTAGTGAGATGTATTGCCACCCAGGGGCAAATTTTTGCTGTTTTACAGTTGCTGCTACCTTAATACAGCAGCAGAAATGGTTTTGCTGTGTCATTATTTGGTTTCTGTTTTTAGTGCTTGCATTTAAGCTATTCAGTGTCTGCAAAACAAAGGTTTACATAAGGCATAAACAAGATGGCAAGTAAATTGCTCTGTTGATGGACTTAATTTGTGGATTACTAAGAAAAAAATTGCCAAGAAAAACAATCAGATTTAGCAAAGCATGCAGAATCTTTATTAAATACAGACAGTTTGGTGGTCCTAGCTCATTTCTTGCTGGGCAGTAAGTCTGCCAACATGCACAAAATGTGGTACAGATGGCAAAAAGCTTTGTCATTCTTCATGAGGAGTTGGGCTGTTTACATTGCAGTAGAGAGAACATTTATTCCGGCTGCATGCAAGTCACTGGTTAAATAGATTACTGTTATTTCTTGTGTTCTAACTTCAGATCTTTTACTTATTTATACATAGGCTTGATTAACAATTATATAAAAAAACCTATTTCTGTTGCACACTTGAAATTTACCAGGAATCACTGCTATAGATCACATACATTCTTTGAGGCAGTGATTTTGTATTCTTGTGCATTTGGACAATGCCCAACATAATTTAGGTGTTACCAGAATATAAACAAAAAGCTGTTTTTGCTATGATTTACAATATTTTTATTTAATGGGTGTTTCCCAAACTCACCATCAGGCCTGAAATCTAAACTTAATGCACAAATGGGAGGGAGAAAGGAAAGAAAAGAAAAATAATCAATAATTCTGCCGATGTTAGAAGATACAGGGCTGCCCCACTTTCACATATGGAATGAGATTTCCTTTAGAAGGCTTATGTCATCAGTCTGACTAATTTAATTTTATTATTTCATATTTTTGGTATGCAGAATGTCCAATTAATAATTTAAAAAGTATGGGTCAAAAGAGCACTGACATTAACAATATTTGAAGTAGCATCCTGTAGTCATTCATGTATGAACGAATGGAACTGGATAAGCACATTGGTTTTTAATAAAAATATCTTCTTACACATAACTCATTTACTAAAGTGACCAGAACACACTTATCCTCAGACATATCAGACATAAAAGTTAACTTACTAAATCAGCAAAATGTGTGCTAGATTTAATATGACTAAATAAAACCAAATCTGAGTAAAAACTCTCCTTCTCAACTGGGACAGGGGAGAAGGGAGGAAGAATACAAAGGATTTAAGTATCAGTTGCATAGGACTGTGCACATCTGTATTTTCATTGTATTGTTGATAAAATTATTCCTAGTGCTATTTTTATACTAGTGCAGCCTACGTGACCACAGTAGCCTGAGTGAAGAATTTATGCCATCCCTTACTATGTTGAAAAATTTAATTTTATTCATCTGGCTGAAGGTGACCTCTGGCTAAGAGCCTCGTAGAAGTTTGCAAGTTGGTAGTTAGTCTTTTAATGTGGTTGAGAATGTGGTCATGTATTGGGAATAGTGAACCCAGCTGAAGTCATGTTTGAATGCATTTTCACAGTCTGTCTTGTGGGCCTTAGTTTAACTGTATACAAAACATGGTGTTTTGTGAAATTAATTGCGAAAGAGAGTTAAACCGAGCAAGTGGCCTGTTTTAAACCCCAACACTATTTTTCTAGAGCCTCTCTAGGTTGCTAGAGGGCAGCATGCACCATTGTTTTTGCGTTGTATTACATTCTCTGGCTCATAGATTCCTAGCCTGCTGCCCATCCTTCAGATTGTTTTATAGCAGCATCTCTAGGCAGTGCTTTGAAGTCTGTGAAATACATATGTAATTCAGGCTGACATACTTGGCAGGCCTTTTAAAAACAGAATTGTTTCATGGCATGACACAAGAGGTCTGTTAAATGAGTTATAAAGAACTGAGGCATTTCCAACCAACCCTAGTTTGGCATAAAACTCCTAGTACTTGGGTTGTCATTCCCCACTTGCTCCCCTCACCACCCATCTCCTCCCATCCCCCTTCCTACATATCGTGTACAGGGAATGAACTTTCTGTGATGTAATACATTAACGTTGTGAAGAACAGAGTTTTATGGCACTTAGAAAGCTTGGAAGGGATGAATGAAAGCAAATCTGGCTACTCAAAGGTTTGTAAAATGAGTTTGGAAATAAGAATTATCAGTCACTTTAAATATTTTGATCCTTTCATTCTTTTTGTTCAGAACAGCTATGAGGATGTCATGGGGTCTAGGAGTAATAATCAAGTGAAAATCTGACCGATTTCCATTAGTCTTCTTGGTCTGTAAGAGAGGCTGTTTAAAAAAAATGCATTCCAGAACAACTTCAGTGACATTCACAGTTTATCTCAGCTATGTTAGAGAGGTGGATTGGCAGTATTTAGGCCATATTGTCGAGACAACTGCTCCTTAATTCTAGTGTCTGAAGAATAGGCATTAATAACTTCTGGTATTCTTTGTGGCAGAGATTCCAAATCAGTTTTACAAGCCACTTCTAGAATGCATGTGGCATTTAAATGGAAGTCTAAATAGAAAATGAAGCACAAGTGCAAGGAGCTCCCATTGACCTCTTGTGATCAGCAAACTATTGCATCCTGCTCAGGCAATAGCACCGATTAGCTATTTGGGGTTGACCTATTGTTCAGAGTTGCGCTAATCTAGTCCGGAGGTGACAAATTAATAGATTATTCATTGCTGCTTGGTCTTCATCAGAGACGCGTGGATAGATGTCTGGCCAGCTCTAGGCTGAGTCAGAGGGAAAAGAATATACTTCTACCTACAACTGTTATTTGGATATCCAGAACCAAGAGCCCGAGAGGTGCCAAAACTGCACATCCTTTCACCACTGGGTGTTGATGACATCTTCAGTGATGTGTTGGTGTGCTCTGATCTATTTGTTTTTTCCAAATGCCTCATTGTGTCATCCAGCATTAACTTTGTTTTAGATGCATTATGCCTGAGTGCTATTTTTTGGACTTTGTTTCATATTGGGAACTGCTGTGTTCCTATTTGTTAATAAGGAGGTTCAGATATGGGTTATTTCAGTGAGCCACTACAATCCATAGCAGCTTATAGTATTTCCCACTGGCTAGCTGTAGATGTTCAATGAAAGAGGTGACAGGAGATACGAGGCAGGTGAAGCACAGCCCTTGGCCCCCAAAGAGGATGTACTTAGAGAGAGAGCCTGTAGTTGAGACTATTTATAAAGATACCCAGTACAGGGAGACACTTTCACTACTTTAGACCAGAAGTAAGCAGTGTTTCCTCGATGAGATGGGCACATCTCAAAAAAGATGAGAAACAGACACTTTCCCTTTATTGAATCATCTTTAAGAGGAAAGACAGAGATGGGGAAGAGAAGTCCAACCAGCAAGAAAAGCACTGAAGTACTCTAAAGTTCTGTTACGTAAGACCCTGCAGGAGATCAGGCCCTGCCTTGTCTTTTTGTTAGCAGGAGATTCTTTTCTAGAGGAAAAGGTATGTGGCACAGAGATGAAGAACTGTTTTCCTAGCATCTGCAAACTACCCCCATGGCTCAGGCAACCAGGGACTTACTGAAAGCATGGGTGAGATGAACCACAGGAGAGAAGGCAATTTTTGAGAGCTGGGATGTAGATAGACATCTTTAGTGTTTTCTTGTGCTGCTCAGTAATTTCACCAGATGTGGACAGACATCCTAGGAGACCAGGAGTGCTTATTCTTTTTCTAGACTGCTCCTATCAAAAAATGAAAAACAAGTTTGTACCAGTGAAAATGTGTGAATAGCTTTCAAAGGCAGTGCTAGGTGTAGGTAGTTTAGCTTGGAAAGGCATACAAATGTGATGAGAGATTAGTATGTGTGTGTTTCAGATGTACTTTAGGATATGAAAAAGTAATTTATTCTGTTGAAACGAATAACTTAATCTAAACTAAACTTACAGTAAAGGGAGTTCATGTTTTGCATTAATGCAGTTACAGTGCTTTGTGTCGGCACATAGTATAGGTACCTAATTTTGGAAATGAGATGCTAGGTTCAGTAGCCTTAGAGAGGGATAGGCACAGAACAGGTACAGGGCGATTGGTAGCTGCTCTGCCTTGCTAATGCCTTTGTCTTAGCCCAAAAGGCTTTTTGAACATACAGTGCATGCTCCATAGCAATTTGTTTTTCTAAGGCTACCAAAAAAGACATCAGTTATGGCTTCTGTAATGTGGTAACCTGTCTACTTGGACTTGGATTTAGACCAAGGGCTCTCTTTGCATAGACTGCTGACCATCCAATAGTATGGTAACAACATTGGCTACTTCTGTTTTGGACCTGTTTTGTATTGCATAAAGGTTCTGTCTCATAAATAGCTAGTCTTACCACCAACCTTAAAAGCTGTAAAGGTTAAAACTAAAGAACTTGGCATTTGCTTGCTGAATATGTATATTTTGGCTAATCTGATTTAAATTCCCTAGGTTTCAATTATGTGTCAGAATCATTCCGAGTTCTTTGCAAGGCATGTTTCTTTAATACACTTGGGGTTTTTTTCTTTTTAATACAGGAGAGTATTTCAACTGTAGTGTTATCTTCTCTAACGTTAGGAGAATTTATACAAAAGGCTAGGATGAAGTATGAATAAAATACAACCATTCTGTTTCCTTTGCAGATGTAGGTGCCAGGAACTACAGGCATCTCTGTGCTGTTTATTACAATAAGAACCCTGGGTTTGAAGTTATCCATGGGTTCCTGGACAGAGTAATGCAGCTGCTGGATGTGCCACCAAACAAAGAGAATGGGTACTTAATCAAGGCAACTGAAGGTAAGAGGCACAACAGTGAAACATGGAGGGGCCTATTAATAATTCTCATCCTGTTACTGTGCAGGACAGACTTCATATTGTCGTTAACTGTAGGCAATATGCTGTAAGAGTTTGCTTTGAATGTGTACTTGCTTTCTGCAAAACACTGTGACCCAGTACAGAATCTGGGTGATGATGTTAATGGATTTGGACACAAATCTCTGGGGGCCTTCTCTTTGCCTCTGCTCCCACATGGGACCCACTTCCACACTGCTCCTAGTTCATCATAAATGCTCCTAGTTCATGCATTTTTGGAACTAGGAAATCTGCACTGGTCAAGATCCCTGGATACCCTTTAGTCACATGTAGCATGTGGTTTCAAATCTCCCTGAAATCTCCTTTATGAAATGGAAACCTCTACTTCTGCATAGATCCTCCATAGCCTTGTATCATGTCGCCCTGGCATATACAGTGAAAGGGTTTCCCAAAGCTTTCAACAAGCAACTCTAAATGTTGAAAATTTGTCATTGTACTCTGACTCTATCTTTCCCCCTCACTCCCACCAGCTCTGTTAGTGAAGGATCTGGGTATCTGATGAGCTCATTCTCATTCCACCCAGCTCCCAGAATCTTCTAGCATCCTTTTCCCTTTTAGGTTGGCCTTTGATAACATTGAGGAGATTATTTTGGTATTGAGAATCTTTAGTTTATAGAATATACTAAAATACCTATCCATAAGTATATCTCTTAAGGAGAAGTTTATCTAAAGCCTTCTTGTTGATCATGCCCATCAGACTTTTACAACCAGAGGAGGGGGAGAGGTAGTTTAATTAGATAGGCAAACAAAGATTTGTCCTGTAAATATTTCAAAATTAATTTTGAATTGCTCAGCTGTAGTAAGACAATCTCTGTACCTTTAAATAACCTCACTAAAATTGAAGATGGTATCTGTGTACTGCATTTTCTTGATATTTTTTTTTTTTTTTGGACAAAATTGTATTGAACAAAATTCACATTAAATCCCAAGAACAGAAGCGAAGCTGAGGCACTCAAGGGGACTACAGTATTACCAAGTGAATTGCCCCTTGGCTGGTAACCTACATTAACACTGTCCCATGTATGCTTGTTAGCTGAACTAGGCTAAGGGAATGCTCCCAAAAAAGAGTGAAACTTATCTGCTATAGTATCTTTCCCACAAGAGGTGGAATTCGCCTTTCCCCTTTCTCTTGAGTAGGAAATTTTATCTGGAGCTTTATGTTGTACAATTGCCAGTTTATAATTATGATCACTTTTTCTCCACTACTGAGAGTTTCCCATATCAGCTAGTGGCAAGGTGTATTTTTGTCGGGGGGTGGGGGAGTTTAAAAGGCTTAAAAACCCAACAATCCTGTTAATTCTTCAGGTCACTGCAGAAGCAAAAACTAGCTATTCCAATAAGAGGACAGCTCCATGTAAGAGAATAACAACACACAACTAATCTATTCTGTTACTTAAAATAATGACATGGTCAATACAATATAGGAATGCAGGACTCTGGGGATAGCAGCTGCATTTTTACCTGCTTGTCATTTATTGCAATACAAGTATGAGAGAGAAACTATGACTTCAACTCTTCTGCTCAAGAAAAAAGCCTGAGCAGTGCATTTACTGGAACTAATGACCCTGACACAGCATCACTGACAGCTCAGAGAGCATGAATGTGCTCAGAGCTCTAAAGTACTCACTTTAAATATAGACTAATTTTTTAGCAGTGTTGCTGGCTTATTGAATGTGTGCTCTCCTCCCGCCTACCTTGAATAAGCACATACATGCCCCTGATTTTAATGCAGTTTTTCTGCTCTTTACCAGGTAACATCCGTAGTATTTTATTCAGACTTTTAAAATATCTGCTAGCAGGAATACTACAAGAGACGATAAAAACTCACTGTTGGCCAGTAAAATGTAATAATAACGATAGGATTCTCACAAAGCATTTGTAGGTAGGAGTATTCAAAGGAGCCTGGAAGCGAGGTACTCAGTTCCCATTGAAATTCAGTGAGAGTTGATTTTCATTCCCTCAGGTTCTTTTTAAAACCACTAAATGAATTGCTTTTAAAATAGACATGTCACTTAAAGGGTTTTTTATGCTGAAACTTTTAAATGTTTTGTTCCATACTGCAGTCATCACCCTAGTTTCTGAACATTTTACAAAGAACAGGAAAAAAAATCACAAAGATTCCTAATACATTGTAGGGTTCATTTCTTGATACTGTTGCTGTTTAGTATTCCAGATGTCTTGGCACTTCTTAAAAAAACCCAACCCTGCTTCCCCATGATATTACTCCCACACATGATTAGGAACACTCAGGAAGCAGGTTGAGACTTTCTCTATACAGTATGTAACAAGCAGTTTTTGACTTTTGGATGTGATATATTTTCCTCCTCTTTCTATAGCAACAGTAATTCAGAAACTCTTGGAGTGATTTATAGATTCCATGCAGTTCTGATGACATTGGAATTTAACCTTGCTAACAATGCAGATGGCTGATATACTCTATTGCCAGAGTGAATGCAGTGTCACTGCACCAACTTACTTGCAAAGTCCTTGACTGCAGAGAAAGTTGGAAATCAAAGTAGCTTTTTTTTAACTTGCCTTGCAGGCTGCCAGTTAAGTATATAGGAGAGATAAAATGTCAAGCAGATGATGGAGTAAGGTCAATTGTTGGGTAAAAACATATCCTGCAACATTTTAGACTGCAGGGTTCTGAGGGATTCAAAAAAAAAAGAGGAGCTAATTGCTTCAGAGGCTTTAGTTCAGGCTATTACACTGAGTTTTTATTTCCATGGAGCACAGTTTTATGGTCTGTGCAACATTAAAGTTTCTACATGTAAAAGCGGGTTTATCCTATAAAAAGAATACTTCTGAATTGCAGAAATTCTAATATTTTTCTTTAGGCACATCTTGAAACTAATTTTAGTACCATGAAAATATTTATGTTAAGTGTTCATTGTCTTTTGTTCCTTGTTTAACTGATTGCTGAGGTTATTTCAGAAAGTGTCTAAGAAAGTAGTCCATTGCATATTTTTAAAGAATTTATCAAGTTTCTGGGGCTGCTTTGCTTCCTTTCTAAAATCAGCTTATAAAGTGAAGTGTGTACATGCAGTCCTTACCATATGTGCACACCCTTGCTATTTAAGTCCCTTCTGTTATAGTAACACCTAAATGCCAGCCGACTTGACCTTAGGGTCATAACCTTTTTGCCCCTATAGCAACACCTGTGGAAAAATTACAGATGCTTGAAAAATATGGGTGAAATTGTGATGTTCCTCTGGCCTTCACATTAGTCTTTAGTGTAATCTGAGCAACACAGTAATGGGAGAAGAAAAGATGTTTTAAGCGGCCTTGCAGAAGAGCGTATTTTGAGAGACTGGATAAGTGTAAAGATTTCAACATAGATTCCACAGTTAATGATTTCAGTTTCTTAATTGATACTATGAGCCAATTTTATTTCTTACTATTATTATTAAATTGATAAAATTTTGAAGGGGGAAAGCTGAAATTCTACACCATTTTTTAAAGGGCACAGTGCTAAATGGTGTATTGGTTAAAATCCTATAACTACTGGCCTAAAAAAGCATTTTATCTGTCTTGGTAGTAGATAACAGTTCATACTTCTGTAACTCAAACTTTTAAATGAACTGATAAGAACATAGTTTTGCATTGATCCTTTAACTTGTGTGTGCTCTTTACTGCTGTTTCTTTGAACAAAATTCCTTTGACACTTTAGCCAGTTCCATGTAATTTATAATGTACAAATTAGTATGAATTGCATAGCTAGTGGATAAAAAAAAAAAAAAAACCCAAAAAACAAAAACAAAATTGAAACAATCTAAATTCCTAAAGGAAAGAAGTAAAGACACAAGTAGACAAGAGCTGTTAATGAATATCTTTAGACAGTTTTTGGTTAATAAGTTGCCCTAATTCCCCTATTAATTTTTATTTCATTTGCCTTGCCATTGAAACAGTAGGTATTTAGCTAAATGATTCAAAGTATATCACTTCAGTGCAAATCTTCTGAATTGAACATAAATCTCTTAAAAGAAAGCAAATATTATTATCTATATTTTGTATGTAGGAAGATAAGGCACAGAGATTATATGACTTGCCCTATTTTACACTCTCCAGTCCTGTCCATCTCCATAATAACATTTACATCTGGTCATCTTAAAACTGTACTTACTCCTGCAAAAACTTTTTTGAAATAATCTGGATTTATTTGGCTTTATTCTATGGCCGAGTTTATAACATGTACTGCTTCTGCACCCTAATTTTCATGCTATTTTCAGTGTGAACTTCATTTATGCCTTTGCAAAGCTTTTTTAATAAAAGTTTTGTTCCTGTCAATCATTTGTTTAGGGTAGTTAGCTTAATGTTGATAGGATGGGAAACCAGCCAGTTTGGATTCAACATAAAAATTACATACAAATCCTTAGTCTTGCTTCTGTCACTAATTGACCATTGTGTAATAACACTGAATCTTAACAAAAGCAACACTCCTTTCCTTCTGCCTCCCATTTAATTAAATGGAAGGTGTGGTAAAGTGTAGAAAATTTTAATGACACAGTAAATCATAGTAATGGCTTTCCATCTAATAAGGTTGGGCTGTGAAATTATAGAGGTGTAATAGTTATCTATCCGTAACCAAGAATGTCACTATACATTTGTTTTTACTGCCATAATTATGCAACACATCAAGACCCTGAAGTCTCTTTAAAGTCAACCTTAATTTATAAAACTTAGGAAGTGAAGAATAGGCTGGTGGGGTTGGGATGCTGGCATGGAACGAGGGAGAGCCATGTTCCATTCCTTTCTCTGTTACAAATGTCCAATGCAGCACAGAGCAAGTCACCCAGGGCTTAGTCCACAAAAGGCCTTCTAGTTCCCTGGCTCCCCAAAGAATCCATGTTAGGTATCTGCACTCCCTGAACAAATATATGAGGAGAGTTAAGTGCCTCAGAATGGGATTCACAGCAGCCAGAGCA